CTATGTAATTTTATAGTTTCTAGAATCTTAATAAAGTACTAGCGTAACTGCCAAAGGTTAAAAAAAAAAAAAAAAAAATAGAACTAATAGATCTGATAGAAATGATAGATCTAATAGAAATAATAGAAATGATAAAAATGATAGAAATGATAGATTTCTGGTACAGTAATTGAGCCAATCAGAATCAAATCACATGTATTAGAATTAGTACTTTCATCCAAATCATCCTGATCTCATGATCTCATAATTAGAATCATATGATCTTATGTTTGTTAAAGTCATCTTGATGAGTTAAATCCAATGATGGTTGTTTCATCCAAATTGGTTTGGTATATCAAAAGTTATGGTCAAAAATGTGTAAAACTCTTAATATTAACAGTAGTCAAAAAATCTCAGGTGAGGGTACCACCAACCAGGTTGCCAAATTTTGGATAGAAGGAAAAGGATATTAGTTTGGAATCAATATACCAAGAACAGGTTACAGTCCTTCTAGGCTATCTGGATTGGAAGTTTGGATTCAAAGCAAAGGTATACTAAAAATACTAGAGATATGCTGTGAAGTTAGTACTAGGGTCTGGGTGAATTCTATAAAGGTAGTCTGTGTTAGTGTTTTAAAAGTAGATAGATAGTTAACGATAAGAGGCCCTCTGCACTTTACTGGCAAGTGACATACTTTGAAATATATAATGGTCTAAGAACTAGTACAAAAAGAGTAGGTAACTATACTGTTTAGACAGTATCTGATTAGATATATACAGGAGGTTAGTTGGAGATTCCAATATGACAGAGTGAATGATTAAAGGGTTTAAAATAGATAATCTTCTAGTAGATTATAAGTACAATATCTAGTATAGAACCTTAGGATGGACTACTTAAATAGGCAACCAAAAGTTGTACATATGACTATCTGTACTTTTATCTTTATAAAAATAGTTGTAATAGCTAACTCGATATAAGTCAATAAAGTATTATTACAAATATGACCTTTAACAAAAAAAAAAAAATTTGAAACTTATTAGATCAAATAAAAATAAATATAATAGAGTCTTATATTATAAGCTGATAAACAACTTATACTAGTTTTTATTAAAGTATAAGTAATACAATAATTATACTTTTTTTTTTTTTTTAAAAAAAAAAAACTTATACTTTTTTTTTAAAAAAAAAACTATAGCTTTAAATTTTTAACTTCAATAGTTCCTGTATTCATGATTAAAGACATTATGCTATTCTTACAGTTTTAGATGCCAAATTATATCTGTTTTTAATAATCATATTCTATTAGCAGAAAAGAAACATTCAGAAGCAACAGAAGTTGTGGAAATTGCTAGATAGTCACAAACTATACAGAAAAGGTATGAATACTGAATTTGGTATACCTATATAAATATATTAAATTAATTTATTAACAAGATATATAGTATCTTTGCCTTGAAAATGACTTTATAATACATAGTAATCATTGATTACTATATATCATAAAATTATTTTTAAGCCAAAAACTTTATATGCTGTATTTATTATCATACCTTCTATCATGCCAATATGTTAATTTCTTTGTTTGCTAGGTTTTTTAAGATGTAATATTCAAGTTCATCCAACTCTTTATCATCATTATTAAAGTCTGCATCTAGTATTGATTATATAATTGGTTTTATAGCATTGTTATAATTCAAGAAGTTATTACTAGTAGTAGTAGTTGGCATATATTTCATTTTATAAAGGTCATGTATTCTAAAAAAAAAATTATATAAATATAGTAATAGAAAATTTGAATATCAGAAAATTGGATCTAAAGTATTTAAATATAATTCAAATCTAATTATAAATAGTAAATTAAAAAAAAAAAAAATAAATTAAAATAGATTCAACTTTTACAATTAGTGCTGTTTTTTGACTATTTGAATTCAGTAATTAGTCTAATTGGTTCAAAGGACAACACTATTCACTATTATCTAATTTCATGATTCTTGTTCTTAGTAATAATTAGAATAATAATATACAAAACCTTTGTTTGATCAATCTTATCTTTAGTAAACTTTCTCTTAACAAAATAATGAAATTTTCTATGAGGATTTAAAGCTGTATCTAGCATAATGGTTGTGTTAGTTTTGAAGTAATACTGAACAAATTTTTCTCATGCTGTAGTAGCTACTCTGGTAAGTAATAACACTATAATTAAAATTATTATAAGTAATAAATCTAAAAAATTCTAATAACTTTAGTATTAAGCGGTATGGTGACCTAGTGAAGTAGTCAGGTTTTCAACTCCCCAAGTGATAGGTTGGGTGTTCAAATTTTATCGATGCCAAAAATTTGAATAATCACCTATGTAATATTCATATTATGGCAACTGTTACTAATGATTGGGTTAGAATACCTGTAATGGTGGCCACACTAGCATGACTGGCAGGTTATGGGGCATCTGTGTAAGTATGGTGTTATACAGAGAAATGCAAACCAACAAATCGGGTAGTGCAAACACTAGATAAGTCCTTGTGGCTATGTAAATCCATTGAAATTGGGTAACAAGAAGTCCATTTGGAAAGACCCGAATAGAAAGGTAGCTAGATCTTTGATGGCCCTACTGTAAAGGCTAGCTCGAGAAAATGGATACCAAGGTCATAGTACCCAGTTATAGTAGCTAGATGGACAAGAACCTCTAAGTTGGGAGGCTCAGAGGTACTACCAATCAGGCTGCCAGAATGAACTGAAAAAAAAGGATATCGGGCCAACCTGGTATACTGATGGACTGGTCATAGTCCTACATAGACTATCTGGATTGGGAGTTTGGTAAAAAGACTGGACAAAAGGCAGGAGTATACTAAAGTACCAGGGTTATGCTGTAAAGTAGATGCTAAGGTTTAAGTGAACTCTACAAGAGCATAGTGGTTTAATGTTTAGCCCTGACCACAAGTGTTGGTTCTGCCATAGCAATACCTAGGTCAGTTGTAAAAATAGGTACAGAAGGCTCTAGGAGGTTTACCTTGAGGATAAATTAGTTCTAAGGTTAAGAACGATGATCTGATACATCAGAGATATTAACACAGATTACAGGTTCAGAGAGTTTAAAGTAGAACATCCAAGCAGGGGTGTTAGGTATGACAATTGGTAGAGAACCTTCATTCAGACTCCTTAAATAGGTAATATAGAAAAGTTATACATATAGCCAATTGTATGCTCTTCTGTAATGGTTCATTGAACCACAATACCGATAAGTGATTAATAAAAGTCAAAAGACCAAAGAAGTCACCTTAATACCAAAAAAAAAAAAAAAAAACTTTAGTATTGGCAATTTGATCTATTAATCAGACCAATTAAACTATGTCCAATTGGTCTAATTGATAAGTCAAATTGCCAATATTTCTAAAACTAACTTTTAGAATTTGAGGCTGTATCTTCAATATAATTAAGAATTATGTTAAAAAGAGAAATAACTCAGAAAGTTGTACAATATGAACTAGATGACAGATCCTTAAATGACTCAAGAAATTTGGCAATTTTTTTTAAAATTGTTTATTGATTATGAGAAATGGCATAGTTTTGAAGGCCATTATAATTGCTTGTAAGCATATTTAATGTCTACAAATATTATAGATCTGCACAGTTAACATACTAATAAAGTTTTATAATATAGTCGTCTTTCGTTAAAATCAACCTATTTGGCTCAGGCAATTTGGTTAATATATGCAAAGATGGATAACAAAGAAAAAAAATAAATTTTGATATAAAGTATTGGTAAACAGACTATACAAGTACAAAATAACACCCAAGAATGTTATTTTGAATAGTGGCCTGAATTATGCTTAATTTAGGTTAAAATTTAAAATTACACATCTGTGCATTGTTATGCACTCATTGATGTAAATTAGGTTTGCGCAGTAGGTGCAGAATACATAGATTTAAATTTGTGCGAATATTAGCACTCTCTGTATATATAGCACATATAAAAATTTTTTTTTTGTGCATATTTTTTTGCGTTTGCACGAATTAAATTTTTTTGAATTTATAAAACTGTTTGCACTTACATGAAAATTGATTACAAATTCTGATCTAATAAAATATGACAAAAAAAAAACTTTACAAAAAATTTTTTTTATTAAGATGCTAAAGGTCATTTCACAAGTAAAATTGTGGACTACGCTATTTTATGTTACACCAGATCTTATAGTAGGCATAAGGTTGCATGTCTCCAGAAAATAGATATCTTGTTATTGGTTAGTATTCTTTATTTTATTTTTTTTTTAAACTTACTACTTTAATACAGTATTTTATATATCAAATTGCTTATTTTTTTAGGTATGCCTGGGTTTCGGTTCTCTATTACAGAATTACATGTAATTGAATCATGATTAAGATAATCACAAATTTAATCGATTTGGATTTTTTTACTAAGCATTCTCTTTTCATTAACAGGTTTTAGAGAGCTATAAGGACAAGAAAAATAAATAAATATCATATATTTCATAGATTTGATAAATATAATATGCACTCACTTCACCTCTTTATTATCATATTTGCATTAATACGATTTTATAAAAAATAAAAATAAAAAATAAAGGGTAAGGCAAAAAAAAAATGGCTTGTTTTTTTTTTTTTGCAACCTTGGACTAATGCATCTTTTCTATAATAAATACCTTAGAAAAAGTCAGTTAGCATTTTTTATTTCTTTGATTGGGATTTATTTAGTCGAATTCATTTTAACAAATTTTGTAATACTGGTAGGTTTTGATCTTTCACAAATTTCATGGGGTCCTGTTGTTCTACATATAATATAAGTAATTTACATTGCTCCAAGGCAACAGAATGAGAAATTTTCTCAATTTTAACATCACTATCCTCATTACTATTACTGAAATCAGACTGATGACAAATCTCTTCAATAATGGCAGCTTTATTTACAGTAACCTCTTCTGTTTCAAGATTATTATCAGGCTCGATATAATTATTAGCAGTTATTACTCGCATAAGGTGATAAGGAATTTTAAGAATAAGCTGTTCAACCTCTTCTTCGACTCTGACTTCTTTGACTTTGGCTTCCTCAACTTCGGTCTCGACTTCCTCAACTTCGGTCTCGACTTCCTCAAATTCAGCTTCTTTCAATTCAGCTTCCCTTTCAACTTCAGCTTTTATTTCGGCTTTAGTTTCAACTTCATTTTCAATTTTATTTCTAACTCTAGCATTCAAATTTGACCAGTTCTACTTATTTATCGGCACTATTTCAGTCTTCTTCTAGCAGTTAATGATTGTTTGGGGGTTACATTGTCCCATGCTTCTGTAATGAACTTGATTGCATCTAAAATACTAAGTTTGGGTATTTCTTCTTTATTATTAAGAGCATTTACTAGATTTTGAAGAAATAATTTCTGATAGTAAGCTTTAAATGTATAGATAATTCCAGCATCACATGGTTGCAAGCAAGATGTCGTATAAGGTAGTAAAAGATGCAGCCTAATGTGAGAAGATTCATAACTTTCTAGATGTGACAAAGTACTATTGATTAATAAAAGAATTTTCCTACATTTTAGCTGACATACAGCATTTAGAGATTTTATCCAACAATCAAAAATGTTACCTGTCATCCATGCTTTTTGACTAGCATCATATTTTACACCAAGGTTTTCCTTCTGAATGCCCTTGAAACATCATGGTTTTGGTGACTTTCCAATAACTAATAGTTTGAGTTTGTCCATTCTGGTTGCATTTGTACAAAAAAAATAGTTATTCTTTCCTTATTTTTTTTTTCCTTTAATAGATTTTGTCGCAAGAGTTTGATCAGGCAACATCCTATAATAGAAACCGGTTTCATCTGCATTATAGACATCTTTCAGCTTGTATTGTGAGAGTAATTCGACCAATTGTTGTCTATATTCAGGAAGTTTTTCAGTAGACACACTTTCTGATTCTCTATGGATCTTGAATCTTCGAATATCATGCCATTTTTTAAACCTGTCTAACCAATCTTGGCTTGCTTTAAAATTTTCTTCACTGATATCTAATAACTCTGCAAATTTTTTAGCTTGAATTTGTAGAATCCCATTGGTTATCATTCCATTTAGTAAAAGAATCCGTCATATCCAAGTATATAAGACAGTTTCTAACTTCACAAATTTTGCTAAGCAGTTAACCATTTTATTTCCTTCACCATCTACTAGTTGCATGAACAACCACTTTTCACTTTCTTTTCAAATTTTTGAAATTGTATTCCGGTTACAACCGTATTCTTCAGAAAGTTGATTAATGCTAATGAATGGATTTTTTTGTTTACATTGACATATTTCTTGTTTTGTTTTTATTGAAAGGGTCATTCATTTCTTTCATTGCTTGTTCATCTTATTTAATTTTCTCACTGTTACAAATTGCTAATTTTTTTTTTATTTTTTTCTGGATAATTTTAAAGCTCACTGAAGGTGAAATTTACCAGATATGTTGTTTTTCAAAAACACTATGACAATTGGTGCTTGGTATTGCAAGTAAAATATTTAGCACCCTGAAAACCACTTTAAGCCTTAAACCCTAATGCTAATTCTAAAATTTAATTTTAGCTTTAAAATTCATGATAAAATTTCTATAGATTATATAATAATAATTAAAAACATTTTTTTTTTTTATAAAAACCCAATCAAGTCCCAAAAAGAAGTTTAATTTCATGATTTTTTGTGATATAAGTATAATTTTATAACTTTTATTTGAATAGTCACAATAGTCTCTTATTTTTTAAAAAAAACTTTACACACATGTTTACTATTGTATTGGCACCGTTATTACCATTGTTCTGGACACCAAATTATCATTGTGTTGGGAGTCATTTTAACATTGTATTGGCATTGCCTTTACCATTGTGTGGTATTTTCGTATTCCATTTTTGTAGTATAATAATTTCAATTTTCTCTTTTCTATATTGAATATCTTACTGATATCATATATACTTTTAGGTTTTCTTCTACAAATTCTCTAATAAGCATTGCATGCACTAGTCAAAATAAAAAAATCAGTACCAGTTTACCATAGTTGAAATTATATCAATTGGCTGTTGAGTGCTGAATGTATACAGGTTTATAATGGCATTCTGTTAGTATTCTAATGATATTTAGCAAGTTAACTAATTGAATATTGACAGAACATGCAGATTGCTTGCAGAATGCCATCAAAAGCCAGTATACATTCAGCACATTTGGCAACCAATTTATTTAACTTCAATTAGGATGAACTGATACTAATTTTATCACTTTTGACTAGTACATTCATCCTTTTTATTGTGTATTGTTATTAACTCATGCTGTTTTAGTTGTTTTTATATGATGAATTAACTCTTGTAGCTCCAATCATGAAGAGTCTGTAAGAAAAGACCAAGAGGTGACATTGTGCATGCATATGGGCATATGGGTATATATACATATATTTAACTTGGCTAAATTTGGTAATGCTAATAGAATATTCGCCTTGATAACTATCATAACAATGGGATGAAATTGAAAAAGATGAATATAAAAAATTCATTTATTAGTGAAAATAATAAATGGGGACACTTGTGGAATATATAATGTTGGATGTTGTTATTTTAATGGAACTGACATCGAAAAGGATGAATATAAGGCATTTATTTATTAGCGAAAATCAGAGACAGGATGCTTGTAGAACATATGATGTTGAATTTTGTTATTTTAATTGAGCTGGCATTGCAAAAGATAAACATAAATGCACTATTATTATCAAATATGAAGCATGCTAAAGGAACATATAATGTTGGATATTGTTATGATTGTGAAATTGGTGTTGAAAAAGATGAACACAAGGCATTTATTTATCAAAACTTAACAGAGAATTATAAATTAATTTTAAAAAATAAAATTAAACTATTTTTTGACCAAAATTAAAATCACTTATACAAATTTCATTAATATTATTTGTTGGGATGGTCTACTGAACATAGCATTCACATGACTTATCTTATCGACATAGCAATAGTCACTACGATTACAGCTGTTTTCACAAATTCTGGGACAATTAAAAATTTTCTGATGTCTAAGTCAATAAGTAATTATTTGGATATCAAAATTTTTTCAAATACTCTAAAATTTATGAAAACATTGTTATGTGAATGCTGTGTTAGTTAGACCGTTCCTATGTTTTTCCATGGTCACATGACCTATTTCAAAGATTTCTATTGGTTAAGAATATTACTGAGGGAATTTTATTTATAAAAAAATTTTGATTTATGTTGATAGTAATATCTATAAAAGATTGTTATAAAATTGATATATGCGAGAGAATTTAAATAAGTGAAAATTTGTTTTATAGCTTGTGTTGATAATAACAAGAGGTTGATATCAACAGGATTGATATTAATGAGGGATGACTGTAGTAATAATAAATAATTAATTAAATAAAAAATATTGTATAATAGTAATAATAAATAATTAATTAATTAAAATATGACTTATATAATAATAAATTAACAATAAATTAGAATTCCTAATAAATAAATTAAGAAATAGATAAATAATAAAATTAAAAGAATTTACTAATTTACTTTAATATCTAATTAGCTACTAGTTATTTATTTAGTAAAAGATTTATATTATTAATCAAATTTTTATACTTTAATAGTAAAGTTGAAGGCATCCATAAATTAAATATTAGTAAATTAAATAGTAATAAATTAAATAGTAGTAAATTAAATATTAATAAATTAAATTTTTTTAATAATGAATTAGTTAATTTTTAATAAAAGTATATAAAAGTATTGCTAAAGAAAAACCAGTTATTAATTATATAAAATCTATATAATTAATAACAGGTTTTCTCTTGTTAGCACTCATATAATAAGAAATAAATTATTAATATAGTTAATAAATCAATAAAGTAAAAAGCTTACTTGTTTAAGAGATAACCTATTCTTAATTATATTATAAGTAAAGTTCTATCTAATAGGACAATCCAGAATAGGTTTGCAAAATTTGATATAGCATGTATTACATATTTTTTTAAACAACTTAATAATGTGCAGATAGTAGAATTAAGTTTTCGAATCTTAATTGTTTGAATATAATAAATTTTTTTTTTTTAAAAAAAAAAAAAGATTTTTTGTGAAGTTCATACTAATACCTTACAAACATCTTCTTCTATTTTAGCTAGAGTCACTTTTGCAACCAAATTAAGAATATGATTAAAGTACCAGAATCTAAGTTGTTTAGAGTCTTATTCTAAATTTTCTTCTTTTAACTTTATAGACAATTTATGAACAAAAGTATCATTATTTGAAGCATTATCTAAATTAATAGCAAAAAGCTTTTAGGAAAAAAAAATCAAAACATTTTTTTTGCATAAAATTAAAGCTAAGCATAAAATGAATTTATTTTATGCTAGTTTAGTATAAAGTCAAATTATTTAATGTTAAGTTTAGCATAATATAAATTTAGCTTTATGCTAATTTTAGTATAAAGCAAAATTTATTTTATACTAAACTTAATATTAAATAAATTTGGCTTTATACTAAGCTAGTATAAAGCAAATTTATTTTATGCTAAGCTTAGATAAAGCTAAATTTATATAAATATTTTTGATATAATTTTATAATCTTTTAATACTTTAAAAAATTTATTAGAAATATTTGTTTCATTATGATTTTTACTTAATAACCCAAAGTCAATTAATATTTTTTGAAGGGTCTAATTGTCATCTATATAATGAGCTATAGCAGAAATAAAGTCCTTGTTGTTAGAAGTTCAATGTAAAAGAAATTTATAATAGAAAGATATGTCTATAATACTGTAAGTATTAGTGAATAATAAATATAAATATAAAATATAAATCAAATAAAATAGTTTCAATCAAATAAAAATAATAAATAAATCATTTTAAATAAATAACTCTAATTAATAAATAAATAAACATACTACAAAAACTCTTTCTGCTGATCACTTGTATACAAAACTGTAGAAAAATATTTTAGAAGTTTGCTAAAAAACAGTTGTCAAAACTAACCTTACAAGCTTAAGAAAAAAAATAGAGCTTGTAGAAAAATATATAACAAAAGGTAAAAGTAGAAAATTAGAAGGCTTGTAGGAAAGATAGAAAAGAAAATATCTTGGTTGATATTTGGAAAAGTGAAATTTGGGAAATTCTCTGTAACTTGGAAATGTCGATCTGTAAATCACAGCAACACTTAAATAGATAAACAAACAGACATGTATATTGCAGACATACAAACAAATCCAATTTGGATAGTAATAGGCATAAAATATAGAAAGTGCTAGAACAAATAATAAATAGGAGCTACTAATAACTAAGCAAAATATGAGTAGCACACAAAATCAGAAAGAAAGCTTAAAGACAACTTATATCAAAAGAACATATTGGGCGACAAATAGCATACACAACAAGGTGTTTTTTAACTAAGCTAGTAAAATCATTCCAAAACCAGACAGAGAAGATAAGATTGTGGCTATGCTAACAGAATAAGATGCATTAGAGGTTGCTTTGCTGCATATAACAAGAGAAATAATCAAGAAAACAGAAAAAGAACAGCCAGATAAGAAAATTAATATTATGAAACAAGACAAGAATATTATTATAATAGAAGAACCTATAATAAAACAAACACAAGACAAACAGAAAGAGATACATCAACAGTCAATAGAAGCAAATAGAAACCAAGAAGAAAAGGTAAGTCTAACAAACAATAATCAAGAAAAAGAAATTTTATTTATATAAGAAAGAGATACAGAAGTACAAAAGGAAGAGCAAGAACAAGAAGTCATCGAAATAGAAGTTGAAAAAAAAATTGATATAGTTGAAAAACCCCTAAAAGAAAGTATATAGGCTCTAAACAAAAGGAACTATAACCAAAACAACAGTTTGCTTGTGAATATACCAGCATACAATGTACTAGAAAAAACAAAAAAAAAGCATATGAAATTTATTAGATAGTTATTAAGAAACAATGCACATGTTAAAGATGTTAGAGAAGTTTTTAAAGAGAAAACTTATAGATAGAAGTAGATTTTGACTGCGAATATAGCAGAAATGTAGCAATACAAAGAATTAG